TCTATTAAAAAAGAAAACTGAGATTTCTATTATACCCTCCAATCTAATTTTAGAGAAGGGAAAAGAGGAGAGGAAGAAGAGAGGGGAAAAGAGGTTAAGGTGTAGAAAGAAGGGGGAGTGTAGAGGAAGAAAAACAGGGAAGAGAGGGTCATCAATGGAAGGAGAGGACAGGAGGGAAGTGGTTAAGGTGTAGAAAAACCCAAGAAGTCAATAAGAAGGTGGGAGTATTGGGAGGAGAGGAGAGAGTAGGAGGTGGTGAACGAGGCACTCAATGTAGGAGGAGATGGTGGAGAAGATAATGAAGCATTACACATTGATATAATGATATTGTTTTCAACCCATAATGATTTAGAAAATGAGTTTAGGGTTTAAGTCTTTGACTCTTTGGGGACGGATCGGGTAGGTTTGAGATCAAAATGGGTAGTATTGCACTATATTCGGTCGGTTCAGGTCCGTTCGGGTTGAAAAATTTTCAAACTGACCCGAACCACCCTACTCATAAAACCGATTTTTCCGGATCGGTTCAGGTCGGTTTTTTCGGTTTGGACCGAACCATGCTCAGCCCTAATTGTGTGTGTGTGTGTGTTTCCTTTTTTTTTTTTTTGTTTGGGGTGGGGGGGATGGGGAGAGGAAAGGGAAGGGGGTGTAGAGATCAAAGATAAAATGAGTAGTTTTTTTTTTGAACTAAATAGTGTTTAAGGTATGACATTACAAGCATGTATGCAAATATAAGTAGCTTTGATCAAAAATAAAAAAATAAAGATGGTAAGTATCAATTTGAACAAAAAATGAAGTAGTTTTCATATACGAGCCCTAAAATAAATGCCGAACATAGAACACCTACTAGAGGTCGCATCTCAAAAGAACATTATTGATATATTATGGGGAGAGCAGCAGAACTTGCTCTTGCAGTTCGGCAAACCAAATTCATAAGATGAGGAGTAACAATGAGAGAAAAGTAAAATTCAACCGACGCCCCTGATATCCATCGTGACGTCTCAATAGTCAATAGTAATGCAGATTATACACACACTTCAAATGTACCACAATCGACACCAATCAACACAGACAACACATAGATACTCTGGGGGAAAAAATATCGTATACAAAAAAAATAATGACATTAAAGAAAATTAACGCCACGACATATCATGCAGATAAGCTAATGAATGGTTGGCCATTGATGATAAACACAAATTCAAGCAAAAAAAGGGAGAAGATTTTATACGCAGACAACCACACACAAAAAAAAAAAATTTAAGTCAATATCAAAGGAAATAAAGAAATTGAACTACACATGAACTTTTGAAGGCAACCAAACATGGAGAAAGCAAGAAAATTTTAAAATGATAAATACTATACATTGGACATATAATAAGTAAAGACTTCAAATCTTTTCCCCAATATACAAACATGTATAAGTACGAGCTTGATTTGTATGGCTTGACCCAGAGGTCACCCGACCCATTTATAAGAATTTTCATTGACCAATGGAAAACAAGGATAAACCAAAAGAAATAACCTACCAAGACATTGATAAAATTGCTAAGTTAGGGATTATCTCCTGAGAGAAGTCCTTAGCAAACAATTATTCCTAAGATCAACAAATCTATGAAATAAATCAATATTTGTCCAAAAAAACTAACTGTTGTGAATAATAGTAATAACAACAACAACAATAATAACCTATTATAATAATAATATTTCTTTTTCCCTTTAAGAAACTCATATTGACGCTGGCAAGTTGCAGGCTCTTACAGCCTCATCAATCCGTCACAAGAAGAAGATGGTCCTAAGAAAAACAAAGAATAACCGCAAACAATAAGATCAATACTCAGGTATTAGGTGTTCACCCACCCACCCACGCACGCGCGCACACACATCATATGGTAACAATTTGATTCTGATAGTTATGGTTCAAAATTAAAATGTTTATTTGTGTTCACATCCCGAAACAAAAATTAGAACTTGCTGCTGCTCATGGTTTCTACTGCTACCACATCACATTGTGGCCAACATACTTTCACGACTACCTTCACAGTCTATTGCAAAATTCCACTGTCTGCAACAACAGCCTTCTTTAAGTTATGATCCCCATTTCTCAAAATCACAGCATGAGAGATCTTCGAGCTACATGATTGTTGGTAAACCTATTCATTATGAAGAAATCAAGTTGTATGATGGAAACCTATCTATAGACACTTCCTACCTATGTTACCCGGGTACTTCTATAATGAAGCCGTACCCATACCGGACACGTACCCGACACTTTCCCGTACCCAAACTTCATGGACACTTCTTGAATATATGCATGCATTTATTACAATATGTACTTAATTATATGATATATGTGTTAATTTAAAACACTTGTCAAAGACTTCCTGGACGTAGAGCTTACACTTCACATCCGTCATTTGAAACTAATGAGATACGGGTCGGATTCGTTTCAGTCTATACCCAAGTTTAAAACTATATAGTTAATGAGTCGTTTAGATGTCTAGTAAAAAAAATGAGTAGTTTACAATTCACGATAATCAATATGATAAAAGAAACTCAAAAATGTGATCGGAATTTTAATTCTAATGACACATGAAGGGGAAATTTTTTATCTTATGTACCGTATTAATTTAATATATATATGTAGTCGTGTCCCCGTACCCTACATTTTATAGTTTTGCCGTGTCCCGTACCAGCACCCGCACCCGTACCAGTACCCGTACCCGTTTCCATGCAACTTAGCTTCCTACAAACTTAATCTCGGGAGAGCGTATAACAAGTTATCTAATTTTGTAGACAGTTTGACTTGTGCTTATGTCAGAAGTCTTAAATTAGATATTTACTTATTAAATCCTATGACTTGGGAAATTCAGGAAATTCCATAAAAGAATAGTCGTCACAAACACTCAATAGATCAAATTGTGTCTTTAGTTTATGTTTTGACATGACTATGGGGCAATACAAGATAGTTAGGTTCATTTATTTTTTGAAAAGAGTTTGTGTTAACTGTGAGATCTACAATTTGGGTGCTACCCAACGGAGGTGAATTTTCTTTTGGAATTTGTGATATCCTTTCTTATCCCATATTCGTTCATGAAGCCCTCCACTGGCTTTGAAGATATAAGAGCTAAATATCAAGGGGGTAAATCCAAAAGGAATCTTCAGATTCATTATCAAAGATGAGAAGTTTGAATCAGTTATACCACTCCCCTATACATCATCCTCCCATATGTCTTTCCCTTGTTTAATGAAGTCTGTAGGGAACCTTTGGGTTGCATTCCATAATAGAATAGATGAAAACTGAGATATGGACTACAAAAGATTATTTGAATAATACATGGGTCAAGGAGTATAAATTCAACATCAATTGTCCGTCGAGCTTACAAAAGCATTATCATTTCGAAGGAATCGTAAATGGTGAGGTTCTCTTAAAAAGTTCTATAACTCGGAATTGGGAAAATGGCTTGTTATTTGTTATCCTCATAATGAAGTCCTCCTTGGAAGAACAGGACAAGTCTTTTGCTACTTAGAGGGAAAGCCTTATTTCTCCAAAAAAATTGCCGAAGGCACCTCAAAGATGTCAAAGAAGGGTGGGGGTGAGTAATGCATGATCTAATTAATGTATTGGACGAACTTTTGGCGCAATGCAGGCCGTAATGCATCAGAGGAGTTGAACAATGTTTAAATCATTTCTAGTTTCTGCTTAGTCTATCACCACTATTTACTCAGAGCTGTCTGTGCAAAACAGCCTATCAAGAAAACGATGCGATTGCCGAGCTAAAGAATCTTTAAGCACATGAACTCAGCAAAGCTATATAAACAAGCGGTTGATGATTTATTAGAAACAAAAACAACATAATCAAATACCCACTCTAGCGAAGGGATTGCTAAAAAAACACGTGCTCATCTTCAAAACCGAATAGGATCGAATAAAGGTCAAATATATATTCGGGTACGCGTCCGTTGCCACACAACGAAGCCCGAGCGGGCGAAACATCTCAAAGTCTCACGATTAATAAAAGAAAGAAAGAAGGAAGTACCCCCCATTCACGCGGTGAGCACCACGGCGCCGCCAGACTCCTTGATCTTCTTCTCGGCCGTCTTCGAGATGAGCTTCGCCTTCACGACCACCGGCAATGCCCCTTTCCCCAAAGCCTTCTTTTTCCTCCTCTTCTCCTAACACCAATCAACAGAGTAAACTTTCTTTTTCCTCCTTCTCGGCCACCTTCACCTCCTCTTCCTTCACCTCCACCTCCCTCTCCGCCGCCGCCGCCGCCCCCGCCCCGTCGGGAGGGCTAGGGTTAGGGTTTTGGGAGGGGCGGAATCAGGATGAGATCGGGGGAAGAAGGAGGGGTTTTATACCGGAGGGGATTTATTCGTGGCCGTTGGATCATCGATAGTTGGTGTTTTCTTGATGACGGGCTTTTTGGGTTGGGTTGGGTTTGTTGTTAGGTTTTTTATGAGGCCTCTTATATTTGGTTGCTCATGGAGTTTTTGGGTGTTCTCTCTATCTATTATCCGCGAGAATTCCAAAAATCCCTATAAAATGGGTTTGTATTAGGCGTGCAAGAAAGTATCTATATATCTGAGAAAATATCCGTATCCGTTAGATGGACGAGACTATTAAAATCTGTAATCCATAAAATATGGTTATTGATACAGATATGTAGTGAAATATTCAGGTCCATAGTTAAAATATCACAGCATATATTGGTCGTATAGTCGCAACAGCTTTAATCCTTAGATTAAGAGATTTGAGGTTAATTTTGATGACCATTAGATCTGGTGTTAGCTTTTAAAAACTTATTAATGAACTCTCTTGTTCACATGATGAACTATATTTATTCCAATATTATTTGTTTTTGCGTCTGCATGTATATTTGTTTATATGTCCGCATGCATGGAAACTGAAGGAATAAAAATGTCATAAATCCATCATAGGACATTAGCATGGAAACCTTTAGCAAAATATTCTAATAGTTGCATGACATAGGATTCCAACATTGCATTAAAAAAATAATAAATAAATAACTCCCATAAGAGTTCAGATAGTTTCAGCCGTAAATAGAATTAGTTAAAATTTCAAACAAACCCTCTGTCCTCCGATAAATGACGTAGGTCACTCTATTTTATGCAGGTTCCTAGATAAAACTTGTGCTAAAAATTACAGGACTCCTAATAAGGAGAGGCAAACAAATGCATAAGAATACAAAATAAAATTAATACACCATAAGTATACTCTCTCCGTCTCTCATCTTGGCCTCTTTGCTCCTGCAGAAAGGGGAAAAGAGACCCTTTGTTGGCCTAGCTGCTGCTGCTGCTGTTGTTGCTCATTACTCGTCCTTTGCTCTTGGGATGATGAAGGAGCAGAGTCAGGGTTAGGGTTAGGGTTTGGGTTTGGATTGGATGTGTCTTCTTCCTCGGTTTCCTCGACTTGTAAAGGTTGCTTCCTTGGTATTAAGAGCTGGTAATTGGGATTTATAAGGGTATCTTGTTCGGGTGGCAGTGGAATTGATCCAGGAGGTGCTATCCTCTTGGGCAGCGGAATCTTGTTTCGGCTTCTGGCAAGCTCAAGCAATACCTGGAACAAAGACGAAAAGGATATAACTCGCAGAAAGCTGTAGATGAACTCGAGCAGGAGGAGTAATCGAAATAATAGCGTCTACATTTATGCAAATGCCATTCGCACTGGAAGTAGTGGTGGTTGGAAGAGCAAAAGCTGGAATGCACTTAAGGGGACTGAGGGCTTTGTCCACCAACTTTTTAATCTATTGAATTTGCTTTGAGATTTGTATTGTGCGCGTCATACGCATCAAGGTTATCTTTGAGATATGTGCCTTTATGTGAATCACACAACATGACAAATCTAAAAGCATAGGCAAGAGGTACTGGTGGATAGAAAATCCAATCCACTTCAGTTTATTCTAGCTCTCCATGGTTGGAAAGGGAGAAGCCGTGGTGATTACAAATACAACTGAAATGGCATTGGCGGTTTGGTATTGATAAGGACATCGATGGCTCATAGTCAGTGGTAGTAACCGGTCTCTCCAAGTTGATACCCAGTTGTAAGATCGTAACACCTTTGAGGTGTTTCTTAGTCATAATTGGAACTTTTGAACATTTAGTATCGCATGGTCATACAATTCATTAAGTTGCAACAGTTTTGTCACAGTGGTTTCATTTCGGCTTGCTGGCCGCTGCAAAATGTCGTTCATTCCTTTTGATAGCATTTCTATTGGCAGAATGGCAGATAGAAAACTGCGAGTCAGTTTATAAAAGCATACACAAGATAAGAAAGGAGATGGCTCTCGATGACAATGTGAGGCTGGCTGCTGCAGCATCAGTTCAACTAGTATGCATGATGACCGTCACTGAGGAGCCACTAACAGCAATTTCACGTTATTGATGAGGACGTTGTGGTGTTATAGCAAGGTGATAGTGGTTAAGGATAGGCTGATGAATAAGGTGGTGATTGAAGGGAGTTTGTTACAGACACAAGGTTATCTAGTTTGAACTCCATGCTGGAAAGAACTTTTACTTTCTGGTTTTATTTTCCCTCAAGACCTGACTATTTCAGTTCTTTGTTAACTCTCCTCCAAACATGAGGATTGCTAGGTTGATGTGGGTCTCCTATTCCCAAATTCTCTCAACAAAGTAGCGAAAGATTATTTCCTGGTAGAAAAAAATATCTAACAAGGTTCCTGGTTTATCTTTAAAGCTAGCAGAAGAACATACAAAATATGTGTTTGTAGTAGGTGTTAAGTTACAAGGCATAGCATGAAAACCTATACTAGTGAACAATTAACCAAAAAGGGTCGTCGCACTGATCAACATAATTGACAGATAGCACATAGAATGATACTAGAAAGCACAAGGAAAGAGTTATCATGCATCCAGAAGAATGCAGCTATCAGTTAACTATATCTATGAAAAGAGGCAATGACAAGGCATACGTACGAAAAGTTCAAAACTAATGCATGCAACTGTCCACTTGGATAATTTTTATCCTCTAGTAGGAGAATAGTCTAGCCCGTTAACCATAATATTGGTTTGAAAAATCACATAAACCTAAGAGTCAAACCAGCCCATGACAATACCTATTTCATTGATTAAAGAACCTAAGCTTGCATTGAAGAGAAAACTTGTAATCGATCCATACTTGGACGGTTGGTAAAAAATGCTACATTATACAACTGATGTGACCTAATGAACAACCTCCAGTTTAACATATTTGGAACATCAGCCAAAGATAAAGATACCCATATTTCACAATCAAGTCAACAATGCTACATTATATCTTAGACACTGAGTAATTGGAAAAAATACTCAAATCATAGCAAGAATATCCTGAATTAAGTGGTTGCCAGAACATTTGCAATGATTAATTTTTCATAAGCTACTCAGAAACAAAAATAGATAAGGAGCCATTCATGTAATTTCCCGATTTCAAGGCCTCTCCCAAACCAATTATACTCTATGGTTCGATAATTAGATTGATCGATTTGTATATATTGTAAACATTTACCGTTGTCGTCCTTTTCAGAGCTTTTTATATGCTCTAGCACTAAATGTAGCATTCGTGCATATTTTTATTTTCTACAAATATATATTAATTTCAAGTTCTCAGTAATATGGATTTTAGCAAAATTATAAGGACCCATATGAACCCCAATATACTGTAAAGAAGCCAGAAACCACTACCATTGATCAAAGACTTCTATACCGCACATATTTCCCCCAAATTCATTTTTAAAAGATATCGGCAAACATATGGCATCAAAAGTTATGGTCAAGCGCTTGCGGTGTTGAACATGGACATGCCAAATTAACGGCTCCTGTAATTTTTCCCTCCCTTTTTGAGAACAAATGGCACCCATAATAATGTAACCACCAAGTAGTAATTATTCTCACCCTTTCCGTCCTACGTCCGAAAATTCCCAACCAAGCAACTTTCTCCCTAAATTTATTTATCGACAAGCTAGGTCGGCATTTGAGTACCAAAGCTGACGCCTTTACCATCAAACTCCAATCTTCTCCATCAAGTTACTTACGGAGCTAAAAATTCTACTTTTCTCAAAAAAAAAAATTACGAAGAAAGCTCACACCTTTACCATCGAGCTACTATCAGCAATACCCACAAACAAACACATCGTGATTTGATTCCAGAATCCACGCACTGCAACTAAAAAAAGCACAAAATTTAGGGTTAGGGTTAGGGTTTGGTACCTCTCGAGGCGGCGGCTGAGAGAAGGAGAAATTGACCTTGGACTGGATCGCGAGCCTGACGTCATCGGGATCGATGGCGGGTTTCCCCGCGTGGTCGGAGTAGACTTGGGCGTCGGTGAGGACGTCGACGACGTAGCGGTAGCAGAGGTCGAGGAACTGGTGGACGACACGTGGCTCGTACTCGCCTTCTCCTACGCCCATCGACCGGAGGAGACTACTATCAGATAGATGGTAGCATGAAATTTTCCAGTAGTAATATGATCACTTGATATTCCTCATCAAAGAAATTATAATGACAACCCAACAAAGCCCATATCTCAATATTTATCAAAACACAACACATACTGGATCTAACAATTGCTGGCAATGTTTAGCATTTATCAATCAATTTCAAACAAACACATTGTGACTTGATTCCAGAATCCACGCTCTGCAACTTAAAAAAACCCAAATTTTAGGGTTAGGGTTAGGATTTGGTACCTCTCGAGGCGGCGGCTGAGAGAATGAGAAATTGACTTGGACTGGATCGCGAGCTTGACGTCATCGGGATCCATGACGGGTTTTCCCGCGTGATCGGAGTAGACTTGGGCGTCGGTGAGGACGTCGACGACGTAGCGGTAGCAGAGCTCGAGGAACTGGTGGACGACATGTGGCTCGTACTCGACACGTGGCTTGTCGGAGGAGCTCTCTGAACACACGCGCGTCACGTGGCTCGTCGGAGTCCGAGGTGGTGGTCCCGGCGACCCCGCCGTCGCTGCTGGGTTCTGGTTCCATCGCCTTTGCTCCCTCTTTGGCTTTTGGTGCGGTTATAAGGAGAGGTCTTTACTTGATGAACATAGTTCAGGTGTTCCGATCTCGAGACAAACGTCGCTTTGGCCGAGTGGTTAAGGCGTGTGCCTGCTAAGTACATGGGGTTTCCCCGCGAGAGTTCGAATCTCTCAGGCGACGTAAAATGTTTTTTATTCCCTCTCTTTTTCGCGGTTAACAGAAAATACTGCTATGAGCAAAATTATTTGATTTTTTTCCCCTCCCTTGTCTAAGATTAATTTTACTTTGCCTCAAGAATATTAATTAAACAAGTCTATATACACTAAAGGTCATTGATACATTAAATATGCAAAGCGCCGTGAACGGCAGAATGAGTCTACTGCTTTCTGGAACAATAACCTGTCATCTAGAAATCCCCCGCTTGAAATCATACATAAAGAACCAGTTTACATTAAGTGAAATATCACAAGAGCCTTCTGTACCGTTCACAATGTTTGGTCATAAGATTCACTGTTTATGAGAGTTAAAAATACAAAGAACAAACTTTTGTTCCGCATGAAAAAGGCCAACATTTTCCTTCAAGCATAAGCCTCAAAACTATGCCTTCTTTATAAGTAACAAACAAGCCGATGTAACTTGTGCATTCGACTTGAGCTGCTACCATAAATGTCTGTCTCAACTGGCTCCGAGGAACTGTGCAATTTAATATGCTCTGATGTTGCCTCTCCCGGTTTACATGCTTCTTCGTCGCGTGCTGGGGGAGATCAGTATCTCTTAACCAACGCATGTGACTGTAGCTCTGGAACATGATGGAGAGAACAGGTTTGAAAATTAATATAAACAGAATGTAGCTTTGGAGAAGATGAGCTAATAAATGTAGATGCAATCATTTAACGAGCTTAAAACTTCGATTTATCGATTATCTAGTATTATCAAACTAGCTCAAGCCCTTCTAGAGCCTATTCATAACATCTTTTTAGAGCACTGAACATTTGGCCTGAATCTGGGAGGGAAATTCTACTGTAAGTGTACGAAGATGTGAACTTTTAACATAATGGAAAAATAACGGGAAAAGAAAATTCAACTGCAAGACTATACTTACGATGTTACTGCAAGGAGGACGCAATCATGTCAGAACAACTAGAGTGGCGTCACATTTGTTAGCTCGTCGAGAAAAAGGCACCCGAAAACAAAATTAAAGAAGTCTTTGCCCTTGATGACATTTCGGCTTCCGACAACTGCTTCAGTGTCATATTTGCATGCTCTAGTGCAGTCTGGACAGTAGGTCACCTGCATAAAGAAGAGAATTAGTCTGCACCACATGCGCTTGTATTTCAAATTCTACAGTCTAATTATATCTTTTTAAAGGTAAATGTAGGAAGGAAATATACTGTTAATAAGGAGTAAAAAAGAATACACTAAAGCTACCAGAAATATTAGACTCTGGTCAAATAAGTAAATAAAAAAAATGAGAACTTAAAAAATAAAGCAAAACCACGTGACACTAAGTTATTTTGTCTAAGATGTGATTTTTCCCCCATCTCAAAAACAGTACAGACAAAAGAAGAAGCCAAATAGGATCAGAAAAAGTTCTTTACTATCTAGGTTGTTTTGTGGCTAACACACTTTAGGAACCATGATAAATATTTTATAAAGCGAAAAGTCCCTGATAGTCATTTGCCATCAATATTGAACCAGGAAAAAAAAAGTGTAACACACAAAATTTTATGATAATGACAAGGGCATACCTCCAGAAGCTTTGGCATGAATGAATGATCAAGCATGACATCTACACCATACATGGACCTAGAGTTTGGGCAGTGCATCTCAGGATGCACGGTTGCAGCTGAATCAAACACTGAACGAATCATGTTTCGGATTCTTTCCTGGATATTATGCCATTTCACTATAGAGAAATGCCACATTATCGTATTAGCATTTAAAATTATTTGCCTTGTTGGGTAACCATTCAAAGAAGATGTGGACAGATACCTTGATGTTCCTCTTCGAACTCTTTCACAAAATCCGATACATTCATGTGATTTATACGTCCAATGTAGTTCTGAAAAGAAACTACAGTATTAGTATATGAGGCTGTTATTGGATGTTCTAAGTTGCAGGCAAACCAACAGTCTAAGCAGTCAACAAAAATGAAGAATCCAGTTGACTTAACGGATATAATGAGAACTTCTGAAACTCTAAACTCTAGGTGACAAATTGAAGATGAAAACTTTGTATAGAACAATAAAGCAAACAGCAAATAAAAGGGAACTTTTATTGTCTAAATAAAAAACAAAAGGTTTAAACAGTTAACTTCCCAGCTCCGTCATCAAATTAGCATGGCTCTACTCAATTTCCAGGATTTTGACAGTGAAAAAAAAAAAGCAGACTTACCATCACAGTGAAATGAGTTTCATACTCAAAAAGACTGCTCTTCTCCAAAGTGTACGGGTTGTTTGCTAACCTAACCTACAACAGAAGAATGTGCATTATGGTCATCAAATCATAAAATTCTTTTAAACTGAAACATCTCAACAGCAGCAACAGATGTGATCATGAGGGTTGATAAAAGTCAGGAGTGATAAAGAGAGAAAGGATACCCAAAATATATCCGCAAGGAAAATTTCAACAGGTCTCATGCTGCGAACCAAGACAATATATCGAAGGTCAAATTTCCTCCCTTTGAATAATGCAGGACGCTCGATATACTTCTGGCATATCTTGGGACCAGTCTCCATAAGTCGTATAATAGCAGACAAATCTCCAGTAACAGTTGTATCAATTGTCCTTGCCATATTCCATGGTTTTAAGATCCATAAATTATTGTTGCCATCTCTTTTCCTCAAGCAATAATCTCCTATCAGCTGAGATAGTTGTGTCTCTAGGTTGTAAGTAGGCTGAAGCCAATCAGGAGAACCTTGTGCCTATCATAGATGAATAGTGATTAATACAGTAACAGACCCTGTAGTAGAAAAGGATATATTCTAAAATCTTCTAAAGTTCATGTCGATCGTAAGTTCTAAATAGTATACACAATTGTAGAATATGCATAGTTTCCTTCTTCATCAGATTCTACTTGTTTTTTAAGTAAGTGTGCCACTTACCATAATATGAGAACCTTATATTCACAAATGAGGAGGCTAAACCATAAACGTGGAGAGAGCATAATCATAAAAGAACATTTGGTTAATTTTTCATTCTCCCTGTTGTACTTCTTGGGTCAAGATCAGTTCCAAGCTCTCTACTTGAACAATAAACCAATGCTTACAGTAGAATTCTTTATCTATAAGAGTTAATTGTAACTCTCAAATATAAATATACATGAGCATGAAATATTAGAAGAACATGCTAACCTTATGGATAGTCTCTGCCAAATGATGTTTCATTACAAGGCAAGCTTCAAAGGGAAATTGGTTTGTATATTGACTGTCTGTTATTCCAACAGCTTTTTTCACTTCCGTGTCGACTTGCACGCTGGTCCAAATAATATCAGCATTCTTTGGTTCAGTTGCTGCCATAAGAGTAAAAAAAATCAACCTCTCAATCACATAAATAAATAATTACATCATTAAATGAAGGAATGCACAAAGCAGAAAGCACTTACTGAGAACAAATTCAGGTCGTGATAAGTTCTCTTCTACTTGTGGTATATCTGTATAAACTTGAAGTACACGCCCATCGCCTGGGAGTATGCTTCTAGTTGTAGGGGCTTGTGACGAAGATGGATGAGCACCTACTGACACAAGTTGTCGGGAATAATTTTTGAACTCCTAAAAAGAGAGTTCGTCATAAGTATAATGAAATTGGGATCTTCTGTATTGAAGCAGGTAATAAATCACCTCAATGAAGTAACTTTCTGGTGTATGGAACCAAGCTGTAAGTCTAGCAGACCGTTGTTTGTCCTCTCCAATGCCGAAAAGGTAATCACGTGTGCATTCTTCACCACAACTAACATTCTGAGTCGGCCATAACACTGAAAAGCTGAAATTAACATTTCCAATTTTCAATTTTTTGAATTATGATAAAAGGAGTCAACTAGTAAATCAAATAATATTACAAAAGTCTTTTGGTGCCACTGAGGCAAAGAAATCCAGAGCCCAAGAACTACTACATTTTGTCGCTATGTTAGTTCAGAAATGAACAGAAAAGAGCACAATGTTTTTATACCAATGTACTCTCAGATTGGTATTGCTACCAGTCTCGCTCAATATTTCCCTAAAATGAGCGCAAGGTTAGTAATCAGAGCTGGTTGCTACATATATGACTTGGATTGCAAGCTAGACCCCCATTAAGGAAACACAATTCAGAACTGAGTACTACTCTTTTGGGTCTAGATCGCTGCGGGAGTAAATGTGCGTAAGACTATAAGAGGTTAAAAGGTTCAGCAAGCCTTTTAATACTGCCATCATGATCTAGCAGCAGAGAAGATTTAAAAATAACATGAAAAGGATAACTCAAATTTTCCTCAATTCAATGGGCATGAGTACAAAAATTTATAGACAATTCATGAAATTCTTAACACCATTTGCACTAAGTACATTAAGATAAATTATCTATGATGATGTACTTTCATTGTATGACCCCTCATTTAATACTTCAATCTATCTAGGCTCAGTACCTGTTAGTCTGTTACTGAGCAGCAAGCATATAGAAGTTGCCTTTTGTGGTTATTGGATAAATTTCTACTATTTTGTACATGAATTAGTAACATTAATCTAAATTTCTGAGTTTCTAAATTCTAAAAAGATTAGATAAGATCAATATCCAAGGGGCTAGATCACATTCTACATTTCTGCCATCTTATCACGATTTATGACAGGGAATTGGAATGGTACACGCTGACATTTCAATCACATGTTGAATAGTGAAGAAACTGAATAAACATCTCAAAACACAAAGATGACGTTGACAGGAAAAGAACAATAAGGAAAACCTAATTGAAATGTTGAAGCCACAGTAAAACACAAATTAATGGTGAAAAAGGAAACAAGGACACCTTATTGCTGATGCCAGTTTCCCCTCTGGCATGAAGAGAAAAGGAGCTATCCTGAAATTCGCCTCATCACTATGCCGCAAAGCTGAACCCAGTTCATCCATTACATACCTATATTAACAGTTCAAAAGTCACAAAAACTAGCACAGATCGAGAAACAAATCTGCATTTGTATGTTCCACATTGATAACATGATTCCTCAAAGTTCTTTTGTGCCAGAAAGTAGTCAGGAGCGCAGACAGAATTTGTTTCCATAAAAAAAAGTTATTTCATGCGCTGGGTATCAAAACGTTGGGTCAACAGCTTGTAGTTCCAAGTGGAACCAACTAGACTGAGGTGCTATATTTTCTTCTTTTTCTTTCTATTTCCTTTTTTTTTTTGGTGTGTGTGTGTGTGGTGGTGGTGGTGGTGTTTATTGCGAAGAAGATCTCTTAAAAAACAATGAAACCAAAGTAATGATGTTGTGTTCCTACCACACAGATGTCTCGTCGATCTTTTCCTCATCAGCAAGCCGATATGTCATCAAATACAGCCACATTGCACCAATAACCCTATCTTCAATAGGTTCATCAGATGTCCATTCCGGAAGGCGTGGCCGAAGAGCTGAATCAATGACATGTTTACCATGTTCTATAATGTTTAATCTATTGACACCATTGATTATAGATACACTAGGAAGTGATTCAAGAATTTTTATTGCACTTGTTCCAAGGGGACCAGGAACATCGACCTGCAATGCAAATGTTTTACCGGAATGCAGTGTTGCCTTTTAGATTGCTAAAAAGAAACTAGGAAGCTTAGTAAAGATACCTCCAACATATTCAGAGAAGCAAATCCACTTAAAATTTCCAACAGATCGCCAACAGAAGTTTCATCCAGTTCATTCCCTCGGAGGTTCAAATGTGCAAGGGATGGCATTGCGGCAGGTGAAAATGCCTGGCAGAGGTTAGAGAGAAGTCATTATAGAAAAATTCTAACTACCACGATTAAAATAGAAATATGAAAACAGATAATCGCGAATAAGAGATAGGATGACAAGCATGAGTGCATTAAAAAAGATAAAATCATTATGCAACTTTAGAACATGCCATCTTCTCGATAGTCACTCAGGTCAAAGAAAGAAACTCCTTAAGAAACTCACAATGTATAAATCAGGAACCATATATCATACCTTAGGTAGCCTGTGGATACCTCTATTTGACAGATCAAGCATGGTTATCTCCTTCAGTGAACTGACACTAAAATCAGGATTTTCTGACCCAACAACCCCTCCACGAAAACCCAATGCCCACTCTGAGAAATTGCTAGTAAAATGTGAATTATAAATCTCCAGGCCAGGGATACAATTGAGAATTGCATCCTCAAGATCATTGCCACTGGAATAAATTTAAAAATGTTAGTTTGTTTGAAAGAGGTGCTGAATTCGAAAGCAACAATGATAGAAAACAAGAATTCAGAATGTAATCAGAAATTATAGGGTAAATAGTACAAGTATATCCATGTTCCTCCTTGCAGGTAGACCTTTCTAGGTTACAACCATGGAGTATTCTATCTTCTAGAGATGTCTTATCTACACTTCATGGTGGGTTTGTTTTTTTATATATATATTACAATCAAATGCATCAATGTGCAAAGAAACAGCCATGCATAGAATATTATGTTTCTGCATTAAATAACTAACTGTAGAAATAGACAAGCAAAATTACAGAAGGAAAGTATACAAGAAGAGAGAAGGAAATTTTTTTTTGAAACAAGATAACCACAAAATGTTGATGAGTATCTCCATAATGAGGAAAATGAAAAGGTTAACAACTGAGAAGCAAACTGCAAGAATACTCACTATTTTGACAGAACAGGGTTCTCGTTCAACCAAACTGCTTTCAACCGCTTGCATTTCGTAATTTCCTGCAGTACAGTCTCTATGTTCTGAAGCTTGTTTCCCCAAAGATTGAGTGCAGCAAGACTCTGATGCAGCAACATATACATAAGTAGGACCAAAATAATTATTTTAATGCAATATGGAAATGGATGGAGCAATAGAGCGTTTAAATTTCCCTTTATAGGCATTTTAAATGTCATAGATGAGCAATAACAGAGAATATTTTTGGTTTTAGGGGCATCTGGCAGTGTGCACTATTGGAATTAGATTGAAACTGAAAGCTACAAAAACACCTACTTATAGCAGTTTCTTTAAGAAAATGATAAAAACTACACCAATGAATTTTATCATACCGGAAATTTACTAGACAAATCAACAGACTGTAGCATTTCATCGTCTATGCCAACTTCCTCGAGCTCCAACCACGCTGCAGCATTACTTCCTCTCTCCTTTAATCTATTCATCTCTTGCTGCAATATTTCTGAAACTTTTCCTTCAATTCCATTTTCATCTCTTCCTATAGATTGTGATTCTAAGTCAAGATCAACACACATCAATGCTGCCATTCTCTCTGCTAATCCTGGGACTTCCTTCAGCTGAATAGCCAAACAATGGGGAGTATGTTAAAATAATCAAATAAGAGTTGAGTCAGGCTCCTGTCAATAGTACACGATATGTGGATACTTAAATCCTAATCTAATATTTGGATTTCAAAATTGATAATCCCTACCGTGAGATATGATCTTCTGCACATCAACTATCTAGAAATAAACTTTTGAAGTTATTTCATTACATTTTGCCCATGAATCATGTGTCCCTAAAAATAAGCATTTCTGAATTTTCTTAAAGTTCTCAACTTTTTTGCCTCTTGATACATGATTTACAGCACACTGAAATTGTCGGAGATTTTGCTTCTGTATAGTTCATGTTCATCGCATCACATCCAACTGTACGGATTATCAACTTGAAAATCAAAATATTAATTTCCCATCGGCATTATCCACATATTATTGAATACCAATAACAGCAGCCTAAATCGACTCAAACTAAGAAAATATTAAAATATGCCACACATTAAATCCTTCAGTCGTCGGATTCTATCAAAAGTCGTAAATTCCTCCTAAGCAAACCATAGTCTATAATTTCAAGTCCCCGAACGTTAAACGAGGCTCGGATCATCATCAAAACCCTAACCTGGTTGAGAGCATCCTGCAACCGAAAAGTCCAAGCGTGATCAACAAGAAACACATCAGACTCCTTCTCCAGATTCTCCGCCAACAAAACCAGCCT